ATATACAGACAGTTACCACTTAATATCAGATGCGCCGTAAGCTTGTTTCCCAGTCAGAATGTTAAATTAATTATGATCAAATTTCGACCGCTGGCTGACCACTAATTCAAAATATAGTCCTCCAAAATGGGAACATATGAGTGGTATCACGGACGTCACATGATAACGTGATGTCCGTAGTGCTGTTCATGTACTATATACAGGTAGTTACCACTTAATATCAGATGCGCCGTAAGCTTGTTTCCCAGTCAGAATGTTAAATTAATTACGATCGAATTTCGACCGCTGGCCGACCACTAATTCAGATGAAGAGGCCTTATTACATCAGGCTCGTTGCAAAAGCCTGTACATTTGAATATAACGATTAATCAGTGCTGAATGATCATAAATCATACATAACAAGACTGCAATCACTGTCAATCATCGCAAACTAAAACAGGTGCATATTCAAATTAGACTAATTGATATGTAACGAAAAGCATACAGCGTGATTTATTTAATACTAGCTTTTACCCGCGGCTTCGATTGCTTTTGAGTCAAAAATTTATTTTTAAATAAAAAGTATCGTATGTTCATTTTAAAACCTCCAAGAAAATGTGTACAAAATTTCATGATGAGCGATCCAGTAGATTTTGCGTGAAAGAGTAATAAACATCCCTACTGTCACATTTATAATATTACTAGCTACTCGCCCGACTTCGACCGGGTGTACATGTATTATACATATAAACCTTCCTCTTGAATCACTCTGTCTATTAAAACCGCATCAAAATCCGTTGCGTATTTTTAAAGATTTAAGCGTACATAGGGACGGACAGACAGCAACAGCGACTTTGTAATGATAATGTCAAATATTATCATGTAATGATAATGATTAAGTTAATACTTACTTGGAATGCAATGATTTTTTTATAGACTTGCAAACAACTGACGACTCAACTTATAGTGAATTTTTTTCAAACTGTTCTAATGCTGTTGGCCGCATCTGACATGTACAGCTTCATCGTACGATAGCGAGTGAATGGAGATGGCACTCCAAACCCGCGGAAGGACTTATGGAGCGGCTGAAAGCCAACTGGTATCTGATGGTAAACGGTTACCATAACTTATGAACGCATGAGAAACTAGGAGTGTCACGTGCGCATTTTCGACCTTTAAGAAACCTGAATAAAAAACCCTTCCTGAAAACCCCCACTTCTTGAAAAACCCCATTCTGTAATCTCACGAGAAAATAAGATGACAAACGCAAAACTTGCCATGCCCTCATGTCGCTGGGTATATTTGAATCTCTGATTAATGTTTAGTTTTGCAAGGAGTAAGATATTTATATAGTCACTTAGTTCTGCTGGTATTGGCCAGGTTTAAACTCATATCCTTATTGTTATAAGTCGAAGTGGTAAACCACTAAAACAGGACGTTTTCTAAATAATTAAATGTTAAAGAATTTTCTAGCTGTTGACTGACCTATATTAAATTCTTGAACCGTTGTATGTCCAATCAACGACAATACCCGAGAGAAAGGTAAGGTACGAATAAATTGTTCTGCAACAAAGTTCCAGTTTACGTAATGGCGGATCTATTATTAACTTTCCAACTCGATTACAATTAGACTAACTTAACAATAGAATAGAATAGAAAAAAAAACATTTTTACAAATAAACTAAATTTAAGCACTTTTGAATAGTCATAACAATGTTTTTTTTTAATCTACCGCTCATTCGGAAAGCTGTCTCATCACAAGAAGAACGAGCAAGAAACTTGTATGTTGCTCTTTTAAATAATCCTTGTAAGTTCACATTATACAATTGGAAACGTGTGTATATAAACTACCAACCGGTACTAATTTATTAGGGTTAAATATAAATACACAATAAGATTAAATCAGTCGTAGTGATAAGAGCAGACCAGTCCCTACAAGCAGCACTCGTTCACGAGCATGATGGATGAGCCAGCCATCACCGCGCTCGACCATATTTTAAGGAGCCCAATGACCCGGCCCACCAATGGATACTTTATCGCATTTTTCATGTATATTTAATCCTTACCAATATTCTAAATGCGAGAGTAACTCTGTCTGTCTCGCTTTCACGCCAAAACTACTGAACCGATTTAAATGAAATTTGGTACACAGATAGTTACTTTTTAATGTAAAAAATGGTTGTAGGGGTAACCTTTTTTTTTTTTTTTTTAACGTGTGGAAAAATCTTCAAAAGACCGTCACCCCGCCGGAGGGATGGCGAGGTGGTGTGTGGGACTTGTACCCACTAAAAAACCACACGGTGTACCTACGAGCGCCTATGCCGGAGCCAGGGGATTCGCAAGTGCATTCTACCCCAGCTCCGACGGCGACGGCCCGCCCTGTAGATGTTGTAGGGCAGGCCCCATCTCGTTTTGTGGTTAGGGCGACCTATTCCGCCCTACTCCATTGTGGAGGCGTGTGGGTACACGCGCACACCTCCGGGGCCTTTGGATTGGGGGACTGCCTCCCTCAAGGCAGTCACCCCGGCCCCAGTGGGGGATAGAGACCTCTAGGCCTGGCTCTTCTGCGGCGGAGGGAAGCGGGACGAGCTGACTCCCGCTCCCTTTCCGCCGCCTCCTTCCGCGAGATAACTTCCTCGCAGAGGAGCTCACCGCCAGCCACGATCTCTCGCTACTGACCATCCTCCGAACTAAATTCGGCAGCGAGAGATCGTCCCCCACTATTCGTGTGAGGACACGGCGCTCACTCTCAAACGCTGGACATATTTCCAGCGTGTGTTGCGCCGTGTCCTCTACACCTCCGCATTCGTGGCAGCCGGTCGTCGGCTCCTTCCTCGCCACATGACACAGATACCGCCCAAAGCAACCGTGCCCGGACAGTATCTGTGTCATGCGGTACGTCAGTGGCCATCTCCTATTCATCCACCTTTTGAGGGTGGGACGGACAGCCTCGATGGTCCTCAGGCCGGCTGACGGGTTCATCAACCTCGCCCGCCATTCGATCCTGAGGATCCGCCGAGAGTCGGACCTCCGCGCTTCAATCTCGTGACCAGCGGGTGCCTCCCCCATGGAACGTCGCTCCGCGCGCCAGTGACTGACGCGTGGAGCTCCGCTACCAAGTCCCACGGAGGAGACCCCGCCAGCAGACCCGCAGCTTCCCCGGATATGGTGCAGTAGCCTCTTATGGCCCGTATGGCCATGACCCTGTGTGGCCTATTGAGGCAGGCCACATTTTCCCTACCAAGGGCCCCCACCCAGATGGGGGCCCCGTAGGGGTAACCTGCTAAAGAGAGGATGAAATTTTGTATGGAAGTATAGTCATTTTAAAAGCTAGAAGCCTGAAACTTATTTTTTAGGCTATTGATTAAATATATATAAAGAAAAAGGGTTGTAAAGGGTTGAAAGATTGTATAGTATTGTAGTATCGTCATTTTCAAAGCTGGAAGTTTGAAACTTATTTTTCAAGCTGTTGTATGAGTTGTATGAATTCTGTATGGAAATTCGTCATTTTTGAAGCTATAACGATGAATGTTTTTTAATTGGGTTAGATTTTTAAATATTTTATCATTGTTTGGTCAAAGTCACTATTTTAAGCGCACAAAGCCGCGGGTACAACTAGTATTTATATATATCACGCCTGTTCGTATATATCCTGACATTATCATTGTCTGCTTCGTCTTATTACATACATTTGTGGTCGGCGTAATATGTTTTTCACTTCCATTCATCCCTGTTCGCAGTCATCTCGTTATTTACTCTCTTTCTTGCCATATCATCTTTCATACAGTCCATCAATTTTTCGGCCTTTCTCTGCCGAGGTAAAAGCTAGTAATGTATATAATGTATGATCTATAATAATTGTGTATTTTTTTGTCAGATATTTAAACTTATGGCGTGATTGAAGGTTAAATCTTTTTTACTGATACGACTTTAGTAAGAGAATATGATAGCACCTCTATAGGTTCAATTTTGGTTAAGACTGATTTTTTTATGAATGATAATGGAATAGTTCTCTCGCTTTTTCGGCCTTTATAATTGACCACAACAAGGCGAAGGGGATTCTTAGTAATGTGGACTAATAACCCCATAGGTTGACCTCAACATGGTTCCCTCTGGAAACCATTGTTGTAAATTCAAGGTGAAATTAGTCATTGCATTTACTTGGTTCAAGAAATTTCTAGCACATTCTCTTACATAAAAATTCATTATCTAATAGTGAAAGGATACATTTCGTGTAACCACAATATAACCATTATGGAAACTAAATTTAAACATTAATATGGTAATTTTTGTTTGGTTGAACTCGATTAACCTACACGTCTATGTTAAAACCCAATGCTGTCGTATATTTTTAACCACAGCACACATACTAACGAGTTAGAATTAATTAATGGCGATTGAGATATTTTAAATTTAACGATTAACCTTACAAGTGTAAAAAGTAGCCTATTGGGTTTATATTTAACATTTTATAAATAAAGCTGTATATATTATAATCCTTTTGCGTGATCCTTTTCAAACAGATATGTGTATTTAAAAAAATCCATTACAGATTTTTTATACCACTACGGTGGCAAACAAGCATACGACCCATCAAACCAAACGAGCATACGATGGTAAACGGTTACGATCCTTATTTGTGTTATTTGCAATTTTATAAACTCACTAATTAAAAAAAAGTAGTCTTCTCTTCAAACCAAATCATAACATAACAAGGTCCTAAGGGCACTACAAACTAAACAAGGGTTCATTGGTCGATTTCAATCCAGGTACAAAAATTGTATAATATAAAATATATATGACATTTTTTAAAATCAAATTATAGCGAGTTGTAACTTTTGTATAGCGGCATCCATTGGTATAAAATGAAAACAATATTATTTAAAATATATATGGCATTTTTAAAACCCAACTTTAGCGAGTTGTAATTTTTGTGCAGTGCCATCTATTGGCGTTACATTAAAACAAAATTATTGTATTGACATATAATATAAAGGCATTCAATAAAGAATAGCACTTACCTGAGCAATGGCCTCCATGGTCATCCTCTCGATGTCCACGTGGTAGAAGTTGAGCTGCGGCACATACCGTTTCCTAGGCCGTATATCATCATAATATGCCACTACATCATTAATGGACACCACTGGGCAGTCATCAGAGGTGCTACAACCACTGCTGACCACATCCACACCACTATCAGAGTCGCCCTCACCCCCGAAACCCTCTTTGGAATCTCTGCGGTCGCCGTAACTCTTGTCAGAGTAATCAGACCCTTCCTGGTAGCCTGACTCGTTCATGTCATCAGGGGTGACGATTTCGGGTATTTTCGTCGTGTCGTACCCGTAGCCGACGTCATCATCGAGCACCTCCGTTTCAAGTATGTCCACCATTTTGATTTTTTTTAAACTTTTTTTTTCGTTACACTGTCCACTACATATCGTTACGCTGTTTGCGACCTGGAACAAAAATAATAAGGTTATAAAACACATTATTATTATTAAAAAAAAAAAATTACTACTATAATGTATATATCTAAATATATATAACTCAAAGGTGACTGACGTAGTGATCTATCAACGGACAGCCCAAACCACTGGACGGATCGGGCTGAAATTTGGCATGCATGTTATGACGTAGGTGTAGAATTAATCAAAATCTTAGCATCCGCTAAGAAAGGATTTTAATTAATTCTATACCCAAGGGGATAAATTAACGCGAGCGAAGCCGCGGGCAAAAGCTAGTAATGTATATAATGTATGATCTATAATAATTGTGTATTTTTTTGTTACATATTTAGACTTATGGCGTGAGTAAAGTTTAACTCTTTTTAACTGATACGACTTTAGTAAGAGAATATGATAGCATCTCTATGGGTTCAAATTTTGGCTCAGACTGATTTTTTTATTAATGATGGAATAGTACTCTCGCTATCGGTGGCGAGAGTACTATTCCATTATCATTCACTCGCTTACCGGACACCAGTGATGATGATAGGATGAACATAAAGTTACGTCGGTTATCCCTTCGTGACTAATTCTCCAGGAATTAACCATAATCGTTTCTTAACGAATACAATTCTCTACTCTGTTTATATCCGCCGGTAGGAATCCTATTTTTATACTGTTAAAGTACAATGATTTAATAATTTTCCTAGGTTTATAATAAACCATTACTATTTTAAGATATTTGAATAATAGTATTGCGTAAAATTATATATATATATGCCATTTAAAAAAAATTGATGTACTACTGTAGCCTGATACAACACTATCTTGTCTTCCCTTTATGTACAATGTATCCATGTAATGTATATATACGAGATTTATATATAACTAATAATAACACTATTTTATCTACAACTTTACATTACGGAGTAGAAGTAGAGACAAAAATGATTCCGTTAAAAAATATTACCCCAAGTCGACTCATTCAATTAAGTGGGGTGCTTTCAGAAAGTCCTCGTAAAATGCAATAAAAAATGTTTCAGGAGCTTTTGATTTTAAGCCTTATTTACTTTCAAAGTCGTCATTTAAGCGGCGCAAACAATTGTTAGGAGAATGGAGCCACTTCATCATAAACATTAAAAATAGCCTTCCTTTATTGTTGTGATTAATGAAATAAATAAAAATTAAGTAAAAAAAAGTTAACTCTGCCCGTTGAACTTTGTCCGTTTTCTTTCGAGTTATATTATTAATTTCAAAAAATCTTTTTATAAAACTTATTTGTAAAAGGTTTTAGAATAACAGAAAAATTGACCCAAGTAATTAAGATCTTCTGTTATGGGTACTGGAAACCTGTTATAGATTTCTAGATACATTTTTTTTATAAATACATACATAATATACATAGATAACACTCAGACCAATACAAACAATCATACTAATGAAAACAAATGTTTGTACCGTGCGAGGAATCGAAACCGCGCCCATCGAATTATGAACCAGATGCAAAATATCAAAATAAAAATCGACCGAGATTTATCTGGTAACTAACTACTCGACCCGGCTTCGCACGGGTGTACATGTATTATATGCATAAATCTTCCTCTTGAATCACTCTATCTATTAAAAAAACCGCCTCAAAATCCGTTGCGTAGTTTTATAGATTTAAGCATACATAGGGAATTAGGGACGGACAAACAGCAACAGCGACTTTGTTTTATAGTATGTAATGAAATGAAGCTGCAAAAATGAAAACTGATGTTTTGTTCCCCGAAACGAATATGAAGTGTTATTTTTATTTATTCCCAAGATATTCGCGTAAGTTTTTCGCTTGTTATTAATATATATGGAGCTGTTGGGAGCTATTAATAACCGACTTGGTAAATGGAGCTCTCAAATTGACTGTTTTTATTGTGTACTAGCTACACCCGCGACCTCATCCGCGTGGAGTTTAACTTTATTTTTCTAAAATAATAGTAGCCTAAGTTACTCCTTATTACATCAGCTACTTGCCGGTCGGTCTAGCCATTTCAGAGATTAGCCGAAACAAACAGACAGACAGACAAAAATTGTAAAAAATATTATTTTGGTGTATGTACCGTATTTATATTTATACACGTGTAGTAAAAAATGGTTATTTCAATATTACAAACAGACACTCCAATTTTATTTATATGTATAGATTTATTTTATATCTGTTTTTAACTATTTGTTTAACTAAAGTTGGTAATTTGTTTTATGGTAATAGGGTTTTACAACAAACTACCAGAGTCTATTCTAAAGAGCTTATTGTAAAATTGAAGAGTTTGTAAACGATAATATAATATAATAATTATAATATATAATAATATAATAATAATTAATATAATTATTTTGTAAAAAACAACTTAAAATTCATAGCGCTGACAATTTTATCTGATTGTACGAATACTGACTAAAATCGTTTCGTCTGTTTGTAATTTCAAATTAACAGCTTTTCACAAAACGCATATGAAAAGTATAAACAGTGCCTTCTTATATATTCTTTTGTCTGTCTATCTGTCTGTTTGTTTTTTCTTTGAAACGGCTGAACCGATTATGACTTTCACTCGCAAATTGCTAATCTTATAAGAAGTAACTTAGACTACCTTTTTCAGAAATTTCATTTGTAAAAAAAAAACAGTTGAATTCAACGCGGACGAAGTCTAGGTAACAACTAGTTTACACGGACAGATTATATTATTTTTAAATACATAGAAAACCCCCAGACCGATACAAACAATCATACTCATACAAATGTATCTACCGTGCGAGGAATCGAAGCCGCGATCATCGGAAGTAAAGCTAAAACCGCTAAACCGACGAGGCAAATAATAAAACACACATATGTGTCAATAACAAAATGCAATAACCTCATGTTCGGGGCGCACTGAACTATTCCATTGAAGCATGCATCTCTCTCCCTCAACGCTAGTCCCCAATCTCTCCAACAGGTGGTGACCCTACTCCAGTGACCCAGTTCCTCGTGCCAAGGTTGCTTTCATGCAACAAGTGCCACCCCTGCGCTTTTATTGTCTCGCCATTGATTCAGCGAAGTTTCCCAAAGCTCAGTGCATTCAAAAGTTTATTTTAGTCTTTCATTCATTCATAATTCAAGAGCCACTCTCTTATAGATGGAGTTATTTTTTATACATAACCAATTGTGAGAAGAATTAAAAAATACTTTATTTCATAAGTGATTTTCATGTAATTCGTAGGAATGAATATTATATCTTAAGGAAGGTGTTACATATGAATGTGGATGGTTATAAGAGCCGAAAAAGAGGTGGATGGACTGTGTGAAAGATGGTATAATAAGAAAGGGAGTAAATAACGAGATGACTGCGAACAGGGATAAATGTAAGAAAGAAACATATTACGTCACAAATAAAGGGGATGATGATGTAGATGATGATTTTATAAGTGATTTTTATTTAGTTCTATTTTATTTATTACGCCAGACAAATTACAGGAGTCAAAATTATTTATTCATTCATTCATAATTTTGGAGCCAGGCTCTTATCGGTGGAGATCTTTTTTATGCATAGCCAATTATGAGAAGATTTATATACCATTCATAATTTCAGAGCCACGCTCACATCGGTGGAGCTCTTTTTTATGCATAGCCAATTATGAAAAGAATTATATACTTTATTCAGTGAGTTTAATAAATCTAAAAGTTTATTTTATAAGTGTTTTTATTCAAAAATTTATAATTCACTTGATGAGAAGAACGAGCAAGTAACTCGCGTATAGTCTACGTATGACTACAGTTCCGACTTTTTGTAGTCAAAATAATTTTTAATCTGTTAATAGTAGAACGAAATAAAAAGTAAATAAAGATAATTTAAGATATAGAACGCAGAAACTTGTACAAGCTCATTTGAAAACAATAAAAAGCTAAGTTTCTTGTCAGTTCTTCTTAGCTATAAAGCACTCCGAACTGACGGTAGAATTGAGATATCATAAGAGTCTGTAATAGACCTACATGAATATTTTGATTTGATTTGATGTGATCACTGATCATGTAGGTCTATAACAGAATTTTATGATATCTCAAATCTACCGTCAGTTCTTCTTAGTTCTAAAACATTCCGAACTGACGGTAGATTTGAGATATCATATGAGTCTATAACAAAGGTTTATTACAGACGTAGGTACATGGGTAAAGATATTTTGATTTGATTTGATATGATCACTGTATATAATATAACTATAACGTAACATACATATACAGACTAGTGTAAACAAACTCCGAGTACTCTATTTACTACCGGCGGACTAGTAGTAAAACAAACTGCCAAACAGTTCTGGCGCTGCGCCAGCGGAGTTCGTTGTCATTTGAACAACAAACGACTAATTCTAGAACATTATAACTTCACCAGCCTATGTTTGCAGTAGTTCGTTAAAGGGCTGACAACGTATCCTTTGCCTTTTAACCGACTTGAAAAAAAGGAAGTTACGAGTTAGATTTATTTCTTGATGTGTGAATGGTAAATAATAATAATAATAATCTCAGGACAATTCACACAGCGCCATCTAGTCCCAAGTTAAGCTAACTAAAGTTTGTGTTACTAGATAACTAATAGGTACAAGTATATAGATAATTTTTTTCGTAAATATATACATATTATACATAGAAAACACCCAGACCGATACAAACAATCATACTCATTAATACAACAATCGAACCCGCGACCATCGGACGTAAAGCGGTGTGCTAGACCGATAGACCACCAAGGTCGTCAAATAAATTATTAAATTTATGTATGACTTCTGTGTATGCCTCTTTAAAATCATAACTACCTCTATTAAAAATATACCTAGCACGGTATTCGACTTTAAAACAAGTAAGTTACGAATTCGATAGTATTTCTTGATGTGTCTATTTCGTCAATTTCTAACTGATTTTGGTTTGTTTTTATTACTAGCGCTTACTTGTGTTTTAACCGAAGAAAGGTTTGGAATACTTTGAAAAATGTCGTTTTCATGGGTAA